TTCCAATTGCTTTGAGTGTCAAACCTTTTCCAACTGCTTTTAGCGTCAAGCCTTTTTCAACTGCTTTGAGCGTCAAGCCTTTTCCAACTGCTTTGAGCGTCAAGCCCTTTCCAACTGCTTTTCCAACTGCTTTGAGCGTCATGCCTTTTCCAACTGATTTGAGCGTCAAGCCTTTTCCAACTGCTTTGAGCGTCAAGCCTTTTCCAAATGCTTTGAGTGTCAAGCCTTTTCCAAATGCTTTGAGTGTCAAGCCGTTTTCAACTGCTTTGAGTGTCAAACCCTTTCCAACTGCTTTGAGTGTCAAGCCTTTTCCAACTGCTTTGAGTGTCAAGCCTTTTCCAACTGCTTTTATTGTCAAGCCCTTTTCAACAGCTTTGAGTGTCAAGCCCTTTCCAACTGCTTTGAGTGTCAAGCCCTTTCCAACTGCTTTGAGTGTCAAGCCTTTTCCAACTGCTTTGAGTGTCAAGCCTTTTCCAACTGCTTTTAGCGTCAAGCCTTTTCCAACTGCTTTTAGCGTCAAGCCTTTTCCAACTGCTTTGAGCGTCAAGCCCTTTCCAACTTCTTTGAGCGTCAAGCCTTATCCAACTGCTTTGAGTGTCAAGCCTTTACCATCTGCTTTGAGCGTCAACTTTAAGCCGTTTTCAACTGCTTTGAGTGTCAAGCCCTTTCCAACTGCTTTGAGTGTCAAGCCTTTTCCAACTTCTTTGAGTGTCAAGCTCTTTCCAACTGCTTTGAGTTGATACTTTTGTTGGAGTTCCAAAAACATTTAACCTGAGGTCTATACCAAATTTGAAGCAACGACCACGGAATTTATGGCCATTCATATAAAGATAAGGAGATGTGGTATGATTTCCAATGAGACAACTATCCAGTGGCGGATTCAGTGGGACGTAGAGAGGACACGCCCCCATTTGATTAAAAATATAGAAAATAATCTGCCTTTTGGCGTTTGCATCCCATTTTATTTTACTGATATTGAAATAACTATTGTTTTTCACTTAATTGAAAAGGAAAAGTAGGTCATTATAGATACATCCAGATTCCAGTCACATGTTTGTGCAAGTGTTATTGTTTATGTTCACTATAGAAGATCCAAGGGTATTATTCAACTCAATGCTTAATATATGTAAAGACTTTGATATCAGGGAGACATCTAATGATCAACCCATTCCTAAAATAAAATGGAAAAGAGCGATTTAATATATATTTTGTTTTTTCGTTGACTTCGTTACTTTTCGTTCTGTTTTGTTTTTTCGTAGACCGTTTCTTTTTGTTTCGTTTTTGTTTTTTCCGTTGACTTCGTTTCTTTTTGTTTCGTTTCGCACTTTAAAAAGGGAAATAATCTGTGCATTTGCTAGTTAACAAAGATGTTATTAATGGTATATCTTGCTATACGATATGAGTTTTGAACATTATTAAAGGCCTGACGCTGATCTGCACTTGTTCCCAACCTTGTCCTTGATCACATATACCTATATCATAATGTAATATACATATTTAAAGACACCTTAAAGTACTTTTTGATGTATTAGTTAGTACTTACCTAACCCATCTATTTACAGAAAAAAACACAAATTCTCCGTTGACTATGTTATCTATTTGGCAATTACATAGAGTGTATATAGGGATTGCTATTCACCTAGCAGTCATCTATTTTGCAATAGAGAAATAACGTACTTATATTTTGTGCTTAAGGGTAAAGGAACTAATACGATACAGAAGAAAGTCTGACAGTTCATTAAACGAAGAATCAGTTTTTACATATATATTTTGTAATAGATCAATTTTTAATATTATAGATATATATATATTTCTCGCGGCAATAAAATGATTAAGGGATTGCATCTATAGGTAAATCCATCCAAGTGTAATAGTATGATATGGCACATTTTGAATCATTGTAAAAATATATCTTTTAAAAAACATGCCAAAAATAGAACATGGAAATAACCGAGTAGTACCCGTCATGTACTAAAAAGGGTTACTGTATATATATATAGAAGTTCCTCTTACAACATTCGATTATTTCAAGCTACGACAAGAACGTTATATTATATTGTAAGTACATTATATGTCATATCTGCACTTAAACTACATCATATGTACATCATATGTATGATATACTAGCACAATTGTAGATTTTATTGATAATAATTACAAAACCATATACAAAAAGGTCATTCAGATTCTCCGAGAATACAAAATCAGAGTTTTTGTGAAATATAAGTATTGCTCCAGTATGAACTTTGCAACATTTCCCAGCTTGGAGATGTGATTTTTTAATGTCATTTGCCAGAGAGGGTTCCCACTCATCTATATTGACGTATCTATCAATGGTTTATAAGTATAGTGGTAGCTGTTCCTAAAGAAGATCGATTATACATCCTCTCCTTAATAATGGGTAAACTGGTTACAAAATATTACCTCCCTTCTAAAAAGTACTCTTTGATTTTGACCATTTCTGCGCAAATAGTTTTGTGGACGTTACTGATTATAAGCCCCTAAAGGAACGTTTGAGTAAATATTTACAATGAAAACAGTATAATGTTATCATTTGCCTCTAAGTATAAAAAACGAAGAAAACAGTAAGTAATAGGAGTCAACCATATTTCTCATATAAAATCATCTGTTTAACAGTTTCTCAATATAAAAAAAGATATATTTTGTTTGATTCAACCCCATCATTTCAATTGTTCTATTTTAATAGCGACATCCTTATTATTTGGACAGCATATTGAGTTGTAATTAACTACAAACACAAGAATAATTGGGAAATATTGGTTAAAATTGTCCTGGCAGTTCAAAGAAGGTGGAAGAAGTTTACGAGTGAAATAAAAAAATTCGCAGTGATCCTTTTAAAAAAGGGGGAATACCAGGTAAAACAAAGAAAACCTCATAAAACACAATTCGAAGAAAATGACATCTCCATGACAAAAAGAAGAAAAATACGAATATAAAAACAACAGTTCAAAATCACTGTATATTAAAAAAAAGATTGAGCAACACAAACCTCAACAAAAACGTCCATAAGTAACACATATATAGGGTTTTCAATTATTAAAAAAAAAATCAAGAATCTTTAATATTTTTGTTCGTAAAAAATGTAAACAATTGCCTATGAATTATCGTTTCTTATATACAAGATGCCTGTCTGCGTTGGTTATTCTTTCGTTTGAAAAAATAATATTGGATTAATTTCTTGATTCTGTTTTAAATTTGGTAGACTTAGGAAAAATTTTGGTCAAGGGAAGGTGAGTTATGTGAGTAAAATTATTGCACTATGAAAATGACTTTTATTGTATGTACGACCCTCTGAAGCCCGTCAAAAATATAGTTAATGTAAAGTATGCATGCATCTATATGTTCTTATCACATGCGCTTTAAGCATGTACCCCCTTTTCAAGTTCTTTCCTTCTTTTTTATTATTATTTTTTTTAAATTATTTTCTAAAAGTTAAACTTATTTTAACTTATTTAATGCGTTCTTGCTCTTATCCATACGATATTACAATAACAGTATATGCTGCCCATCTATTCTTCTTTTCCAAAAACGGCAAAGAAAAAAGATCCCATGTCCAAAGCGCTTGAGTTTCTGATGCAATATATAATTTGTTGATAGTTAAGCGTATACTAATAGTCACTTATAGTTACTTATGGTTGATTTCCGGTACAGGATCCCTAAGGTTCCTCTTCACCAGACTTATAATTTAAATTGTTTCTATTACTGTTTTGTCCGTGACTTCCGGATATTTCTGCTCTATAGTCATTATAATAGAGCTCTTCGTCAGACCAATATTTATCTAATCGTTTTTTAAAAGCATTTATGGATGGGGCCTTAGTGATTTTATCTGGTAGTTTGTTCCAGGTTTTAGCAATTCTAACAGAGAATGAGTGTTTTCGGATATTAGATTGGAATCTTTGATGGATGACTTTGTTGCTATTTGTCCATTTGTCCTGCTACTGGTTCCATGTTGTGAATCATCTGCCATTTTTAAAAATGAGCTTAATTCCTTATCATAGTAGCCATTAATAGTTTTGAAGGTTTCAATCATATCCCCTCGTATTCTCCTATATGATAGTGTAGGTAAGCCTAGTTTTTTTAGTCTCTCTAGATAGCTTATGTCTTTGAGACCTGGTAGTTGTTTTGTTATCCTTCTTTGGACTCCTTCTATTTTGTCAATATCTTTTTTCTTGTATGGAGACCAGACTGAACTAGCATAATCCAAATGAGTTCTGACCATGGTTTTATATAATGGTACGACTGTCTCAGTACCCAAGTATTTAAAAGTTCTTCTGAGAACTGCAAATATGGAGTTGGCCTTATTTACTTTTTCGCTTATGTGATTTTCAAAAGTGAGTTTTGAGTCAATAAGAATTCCTATAACCATTTCCTCTTTAACCTTTGCTATTGAATGGTTTAGTAGACTGTAATTTGTTGAGTAGTCAGTGCTATTTGATTTCTTACATATTTTCATGTATTTACATTTTTAAGGGTGAAATTCGAGTAGCCATTTGTCACTCCATTTTTTCATCTTATATAGGTCTTGTAGAATTTATCTGTCATTCTGATTACATATACAAGAGAGTCTGGATGGGATTTACAGAATAGAGAATAATGGTCAAAAAGTGCAGAATAAAGGGCGAAAATAAAGAATAGAGAAACATTGGCAAATTAATAAGAAAAAAAAAAGAGAATATTGGGTTGCAAAAATAAAAAGAGTAGAGAATAATTAATAGAGAAAAATGGTCTAAAAAAATAAAGAAAAAAAGACCATCCCCCCCCCCCCCTCCCCCCGCACCGGACCGTCATACATAGCTATTGCTGTATTTAATGTTATTGCAACTGTTTTCTCTATTTACCATTCACTCAGTAATTATTAAATAATTATCATTACATAAGTTTTCTGTAAATGAAAATGATAAGAATTGTTCAACAAAATTCTAAAAATAAACCTTATTAACATAAACATAAACTACCCGCTTTCCACCCGTATCTAAATTTAGATTGGTTTACGTCATTACTCCAAATACGGAAGTTTTTGTTTTGTTCAATTTCATTGTTAGTCAGTTCAATAAACCACAAATGTCACCTGAACTGACAGTGACATAATCATTAGAAAACCAGGTGTTACAAGGAATATATATATATTCTAAAACTAATGTAAGTTTTCAGTTTTTTATTGGATATACGTACGCAAAATCCGTTAAGGTAGTGTTGTTAAATCGTAGACTAACTTTATTAAACAGTTTAACTGTATATATTCCAAAGAAAGATGACTTTGATTAATATTTCCCATGGAGACTCATTCAATATAAAATACTTCATTAGACCTCTACTAACTGACTAAGCAATTGGGTTTTGGTTAAAATTTAACACAGTCCCAAATAAAAGACACTTGAGAAAGTATCATTGAAGGTTTAGATAACCATCAGATGTCAACTTTAGAAAGTAAACAGTTTTTTAGACTTATTTACCTGTCGTTAGTCAACTGTGGTTGTGTTTTTGTTTGTACATTATTCATTCATTATTTATAAATAACTAAATTACCATATGATGAAAAAGTAATTGTGTACACACATAGAGGACAGATATTTTTAATGCTCCATTGAAACATTTTAATCCATTTCAACAACACAGAATTTAAGTAAATATGTAGATACATGACTTTGAAGGAGGTTAAAAGGTTACGGGTTATCTTGAAATCGAGTATACTATATAAGTACATTCATTTTATATAACAGTAAATGTACAACGACTTTTCCAAAGGAAATTCCATGCTTTGGTCAGATATAAAGCAAATATATTAATTTAATTTAATTTGGTTTATTATCTGTTCTAGAGAGAAGAGAACCCAGAATGCCTTCATCATTAAACAGAAGTCGTCTGAGACAAACCTGTCCTATAACGAGAAAGGAAAGCGAACAGCTATTGGAATTTTTTCTTCATCTGCCATCAAGTCCGACTGAAAAGGAAAAACCGACAAATGATAATTTTGTTTATACTGTTGAAAAACAGGACAGCAGCTGTGTTCAGGACCGTCCTGAATTCAAACGTTCTGATAGTTACAGGAAAGCTACGCAAAGATTTTCGCTCGAGGATGTTGTAGAAACCATGACTTTCAAGAAAGAAGATTATGATCACAAGAAATATAAGTCTCTGCCAGTTGACAGAACAAAGATAACTCATACTGATAACAAATCAAAGTTGCTAGTAGGGAGAAAAAATAAACTTAACAGACAGAAATCTGGAACTGTTCCATCGTCTGATAGTGACAATAATACAAGTCCACCTGAAAACCGAAAGAAGAAAAGTGTTGTACAAAGGACTAAGGAAAGAATCATATTCATACTCTGGAAAGATAAGAAACATGGCGATAAAAAGAAATCAAAAGAATCCAAAAGGACACCGACCCTTCATCATGGTAATCATGGTAATGAAATTGTACTGAGAGTTAACGACAATAAAGGTCAAATACTAACCACATCAAACGATGCTGAGATTATCGAACGAAAGACAAATAATAATAGTATCAAATCAAGAACGTTAGAATGTAAGTTTATTATGTTATTTTTGTTTATTTAAAGTACAGATTTCAATTAAAATGCAATACTCGGGAAAGGAAGATGTGTGAATATAATTATAGATATCATAATGTATAGTTAGTTTAAAGTGTGTAGAGATTATAAGTACATCAATATACACATAAAACATTTTTCTTGAGGTACTATGTATGTAAAATTAAACTATAAGCGAATGGTAATCGTTTTTTTACTCGCGATCGTATAATTAAAGTTCGAAATGTTTTCATTTTATTGTGCTTTGGTTTAATGGACGGGGAATAGACACACTATGCATTCTCATTATGATATTAATAACTTCCAGATACCAAAGGATCGCCATCAAACCAACAAAGTCCAGCTCAGAACATGGCTCCAACTTCTAAGTCGCCCGCGCGTGACAGAAGATACAGATCTCAAGTCTCTCGTGAAGAAATTACTAATATGTTCGAAAAATGCCTATCGTCTGCCGAAGTTACTGATGAACCCTACAAATTTCCAGCTCAAAGGGTTCACAAGAGAAAAGATTTCAGTCCAGTTAGAGATATTTCATACGCTGATGGAATAAAAAATAAGAAATCTGGACTTAAATTAAACCTAGATCCTTTTACACCTGATTTTAAAGTAGAATCACATACAACAGTAATACAGGAGAGCAGAACCATAGTATCTGATGGAACAAGGCAGACTTTGCTTACAGATAGAAGGACAATTGAGAGAACCTTTTCTTTGGAAGTGGATGGGGGTAATGATGATGAAGTTGATGGTCCAATGGGATCTCCTTTGAAGGAGGTAGTTCGATTACAAACAGGTATTTATTTGAACAAGTTTTAGTATCAAGTAAAATGAGAATCATCCTACTGCGTAATTATCCTTTTTATATATACCCTTCGTATAAGATGTTGCAAGCAGTCCTTCCTTAATTTGTATATTATTTCAATGCGTTTAAGAGATGACAGGAACTTAAAATTAGACAGCAACCCACCACTACAAGTTAATCACACTAGATACATGATAATGTCCAGGAACACCTCCTTTTATTCTGTTTTTGTTTATTAAATAAAAAAGATGAGTGTATATTGACTTAAAATGGAAAAAAGGGTAGAAAATATTCATAATAATCAAATATTCTCTCTTTTATGGCCACATGCAGTCTAACACTAAAACATGTGTAGATTCCATACTATAACATCTACCTTATTTGTACAGGAGACGAACCACAGGAGCCCTTATCAGCGTCAGAACAGGAAAAAATGATAGAAGAAATAGCTAGAAGACTAACTAGAATAGCTGAAGACTGTGTCCAGCGCATGGGAGCTGGAGGAACTTCACCAATCCAAGGGGCTACGGCTGGACCATTGTTGTCACCCGCGTCTCAAGGTATGGCTATGATATATAGAAGCCCCCCCCCCCCCCCGCCCCAAATATAGTGTTTCCTGCCTCCCTACCTCCTTTAAATTTTCATGGCCTTCCCTAACACATTTTATGTGCATTTGGGTTAAGCACCGTTAAATCCAGATATTTAAGGTTTAGCACCGTTAAAGTCTATAACCTTTCCCTATGTAGTCTTTTGTAAACTTTTTAAAAGATAAAATCATTTAACCTGCCTATACCTATCGGCTAGGAGGCAGGAAACAAGTATATATATATATATATTGGGTGAGGGGCGGGGGAGGGCTAAGCGTTTTACATTCTCATTTTATTATATCGCTCTTTCGCCCTTCGATTTTCATCGTAGTTCTACTAGCTGTCATTTTAAAAAATATCAATAAATCAATTACCAATTAAAGAAAAACATTTTAACAATTGTGAAAATATGCTATGCAGATGATAAAGGGGTACACAGTCAGCTGATGAAAGTTGTGTTCACCTCCTAAACATGCTTGTATCATAATTTTATGTTCGTTATTTTAAAAATTTTACACGACATATTTGTATATTAAGATTATTTTATTCAAATGAAATTAAATCTAAATATTATAAAATCGATGAATCGAAAAATATTTTTAGTCATGTAAATGCATTGCACGTTAATAATATACGAGGCGTTAAAATATTTCTCCTTTTAAATAGCAACATCCCAGCTGGTATTGATTTGGAAAATATTTGTGTCACAATTACATCAGCGTTTCTCTAAATTGGAAAAACCAAGGTTTTCGAAGAAGTTGGAAATACTGGGACGTCCGATTCCAATTCTCCTAAATATCCCTATTTTATTATTAAATGCTAAATTATCATATTGGTTTATTAAAGAGTTAATAAAAATGGTTGTTTTTATTTGAAAATTAGCAAAATCCTTCAGATTTAATTTGTATTAGCAGCGTTATGCATTCCTACACCCACCCCCTTTTTCCCCATCATTTGCAATTTATCCGTTACCTTTTCCTAAATATTTCGATATCTGATGAGCAGTAGATCAGTGACACATAATTCAATAAATTATGGGAGATTAACCCAGTATTTTCATTAATTTTCTGTTATATCGTGTTAGCGGTTGTTAATATTATGATATTTATGATAGATTAACCAAAGACGTTATAATCGATTATCATTTATAAAATTGCAATAACTAAAGGTGAACAATCGACATGGTAATAAAATCATATTAAAGTGGGACATTTTACCTTCTATAAAACCATCGTGCATTGATCTTTATTAGGTTATTACTTATTGTTTTAGGTAGGAAGCTTGCCAAAGACTTAGTGGATGAACTAAGAAAGGAAGGAGACAGATTATCCCGAGAGGTATAAATAGCTTTTAACAAAATTTCCTCAGTGACCTCTGAAAATGTTATCTTTATACGTTATGCTAAATTATTTTGTTTGAAGGACACAGTATTTAATACAGTTACTTATTAAAGAAACTGAAATCAAAGTCACTTAAAAATATATGAGGCTTTTTGTATACACACAATTTTAGGGGAAATATAGTGATATTTGTTTTCTCAGGCATGTCAAACACGAAAAGCCTGTAAAATGAAATAACAAAACTCATCAGATATTATGACATACAGCGGAGGTCTCTTCTTCAAAAAAAATATCATGACAAGGTTTAATCTGCGGTTATTGTAGATGAGCAGGCGTCGAAACAACGAGAGAGGGGGACCAATTGCAACCCTTAAACTCTCTTTTCTCAGTTTCAGTAAAACATTAGATGTCAGTTAGAATATTAGTTCTGCTTGATTGTATATATACAGGTAAAAGTTACATTTGACTACCGTAAAAAAATGTTTTACTTCAATCCTTTTTGGCCTCGACCCCCCTCAAAAGTACGTTCCTTGTGCGGAATTGTATTTAAATCAGGCCGACTTTTAAAGAGACGAAGTAAAATGTCCAACAATACATGGCAGCAGTAGTAAATGTATCTATCTTTTAGTACAGGGTCTTATACAAGAAATGTATTTTCTTAAAATTAAAATTGTATTTTTAAATTTATTATTTTCAAGCACGATAAAAATTCCCTCAATAGTACAACTAGAAAATTATTTTAATTTATTTTTAGATGAATTTACCTGCTAATCTTTTACCGATAGTAATGGACATGGTCAAACAAATAACCTATGACCATTTTAAAGACTTGGTGAAGAGGGCTTTGTGCGAGACGATTGGATGGGACCAGGTTGCTTTGTATTTTTACATTTCTAAAGCAGCCATTGTTATGGCTGGGGCGGGTGGAAGTATTGCCTGTAAACTAAAGGACATGGCGGTTAGATATTTCCACGAAGAATTACTTCCATGGATATACGATAGAGGTGGATTGGTAAGTTTGATCCAACCACTTGTAAGCTTCCTTAACCCGAATATTTCAGTCGTTATATGCTCTGCTCTAAGATTGCTATACATTGCATGATAAAATACGGTTATTGCATGCATATTGGTGAATAGTGTATCATGAAGATTTATATCGCACGAGCTTCAGCCTTGCCAATTCTATGACAGATAATATTCGCCAATACCTTTTATTGTATATCAAAGCTTGAAACACTGTTTTAAACATATTTTTGTCACTGTGAGGAAGATAATATGAAGCATAATTTGCACTAGTGCAATAGGATAGAATATTTCAAAATAGCTTTTTGTTACGTTCTGTGGGAAATACAGTATGTTGCTATACAATAATGAACAAATCTGAATTATTGTCGACTCGCGATTAGGAGAGATCGATCACGGAGAGGGCATGACTTATTCTGGTTATATGCTTCCTATGATATTTCAATTTCAGTTGACTCTTAGTTTTGCGAAAATTAAATCGTTTATCCTGCAATCAGTCAACTATAACAGGTACACACATAATTTTTTGCTTTATTTGTACTTTAAAAATAAGAAGTTGTGGTATGATTGCCAATGAGACAACTCTCCACAAGAGACCAAATGACAAACAAACTAACAACTATATGTCACCGTACGGCCTTCAACAATAAGTAAAACCCATACAGTACAGTACAAATAAAGCCCCCTGTTGCTCCGCTACCACGTTGATCAACCGGTAATGTGGATATTTCTTTTTGCGTGACAGATCATTTTGGAGTCATCTTTGCGGTCCGTGTTTAAACTATGTCAATTTCTTTGAAAGATCAGAGACAGCTATTTTGATCTAAACAACAAGTTGCACATTATTAATACATTTGTATCTTCTTATTCATCTCTGAAGTTATTCCTTACATAATCAAAATAATGTATACGTATTTATTTGTATTTATATTTATAGGAAACTATGCTAGAAGAAACAGATTCGGAGGTTGATTGACAAAGGCTGTGATTAGTTAGACTTTGAACTGATACCAAAACTGATAAAGCAGTGCTCTACAATTCTGGAAACGGGACAACTGCACATGTCTTTTCGATCTCCGTCGGCTAAGGAGTACACTGAATAATGTGAAATGGAGACATTTAACTACGATGTTTTCATATTGAGAGCCAATATTTTACTCAGTGATGTTGTATGGCTTTATGGCTATGGCAATCCGGCATTTTTCTCAGCGATGGTGTATGGCAATCATTTTTTTTCTCAGCGACACTGTATGACTTTAAGGCTATAGTAATCATTTTATGTGCAATATATTTTTTCTGAGATGATCTCAGCTATGTGAGCGTTAATGCATGTATATTTTTTGTGTGTTTTCCATTTAAGTGTATATTTGATTTGATGAAATGCCTTCATTGAGATGATTTAAAATATATTAAAAAGAAATATGTACATATGATATTGGGTTTGTTTGAATAAATCCTATAAAACACTCGAAAAATTGACTTTATATAAATAAAGGGGAAAACTATTTTACTGCTATTTTTTACGAAAAATCTTTTATGATTGTTTTTGTCATCCCTTTTTTTATAATTTCGAATGTGAATAAATTATAAAATAATCGTGAAAATTGACATCGGCTATATATTAATCCACTACAAAACACTGAATGGTATTGATCACAGAAATTGAAATGTGATGTTGTCAACTTGAAGCATGGTCATAAAATGACATTTTTTCTCTAAAATTCACTTCCATTTTGCTAGCACTTCTAAAAACTTGAAGGACTATTGTGCCACAAAGGTTCTTATCACTCCTGTCTTTCTTTCTTCGTCCTTCCAATGCATGTGCAGGCAAAAAGGTGAAAATGTTCGCCCAATTTAAATGTCTGCAAGTTATGAACTAGAACAGTTTGTATACATTTCTGTTGAAATTTCTAGTCTGATTGGCCCAGCTGTTTATTTTCTTTTGTGACATTTATTGGCCCTTTAAACATGTGTGATTGATTGGTGGTAGTTGGCTGAGTAAAATCAAATGGCAGACATTTTATACATGTTCAGGGCAACATACCTGTATATGCAATCCATTGATAATGGAGGAATGGCATACATGTTAATGAGACATCAACCAAACAATACAAACTCTAAAGGTTAACATGCGGTTTTCAAAAAAAGACAGGTGTCAAATATGTTTTAGCTCACCTTGCCCTGTAGGGCCATTTTAGTTATTGCTAGTTTTCAAAAATCTCTTCTTTTGAAACCAACGAGCAAATATGGACCAAACTTGCATAGCCACAATCGTCTTTAGGGTGTCTAAACATGATGTCGATAATGTATGTCACGTAAAACGCATGTCAAGCCACCTTGGCTAACACTAGAGTATACTGGTGACCTTTAGTTGTTCAAATGCTTGTCGTTTTAGTCTATTGTGAACAGTTGTCTCATTTACAATTACAACACATCTCCCTATTTCCATATTGAGGTTACAAAGCATTCAATGGTTTAACATTTAGAAACTAGACTAAGATATGACGATGCGAATTAATGTCAAGTTCTTATTACTATCCGTTTAAACCAAAATTTTCAGACAACTACTCAAAGAGAGTATGTTTATCAATTTTAAGCATGTTCGACTGTTATCTGATAGAGAAAGCTTTAATCAGAAAAATGTTTAACAATATAAGTTAATATTATTGAGATCGTTAATCGACTCCTTATGAGAGTTATTGCCCCTACATCAAGATTTTCCGAATTTTGCGTTTTTGCCTATATTATCTTGATAACTAAAATAAATAAACAGAAACTATAAACAACAAAAGAAGGTCTACACATAAGTCAAAATGACTGAAAATGTCAATCCTCTTTTTATGAGAGTTACTGTCCTTTAAATGCCATTTTTGAACAATTTTAGCATTTAACGTAATATCCTGAATAAAATCGGCAATACTGATCAGCAATCTACAAAAAGTCATACGACAGGTATCCTTATTTGAGTTTTTTTGCTAATATCTTAAAAATAATAATATATAGAAAGAAACTGACGACAATGATGATCAGCAAGACAAAGTCTACAAATAGGTCAACACGACTGAAGTATCAATTGATTCCTTATATGATGTTTTACCCTTGAATGACTTGTTTTCCATTTTTGCTATTATATATAAAAGTAAAGTAGACAGAGAGAAATGTAAACAGCAACAATAACAAGGAAGACAAGCACTATAAAGGTCAAACATGGCCGAACCATAAATCGACTACAATTTTGCATTTTTACATTTTGCCTATTTTCTTGAAAAGTAAAACTGTAAAAAAATAAGATGAATCTTGATCCTAATGTTCCCTGTGGTCAAACATGAGTGATACGGACTCCCTAGAGTCTCTTGTTTCAGAAGAATGGAAGGTACCTCCTATATATTGCATAATAATACACAAAAAGGAAATCAGATTTCCAAGAAAATATTGGACAACACCAACCCCAAACACCAGACTCCTCCTGAAAAAAAAAACAGACGCACAAACAAAAACTAACAACCTACGGTCCAGATAGCCTGAGTTGATACATACACACATGCGATAGATTTATACAAGTTTTACTGCGTACAAACATCCCCTTTTGCCTATCTTGATCATAGGTTTTAAAGTAATTAAAAAAAAAGAAATAAGGAACCTGCCCAGTCAAGCTGCCAACAGGAAAAACACTTATTTGAACAAGAAGATAAAAGATGTCACATGATTTGGATAGTAGGGTCTAAAGGGTGCTATTACACTATTACTGTGAGCTATAGGATATAGGTGGTCACAGCTGTTGGTTTAATACTGTTGCTAAAAAAAAACAAGAAAATAGATTCAATATCCTAGCATATTGAAGTCTCACCATAAAATCTAATCGAAATCGGTAGTATTTGTGAGAGGCCAGAAAGTATTTAAAATTGTCAGACCATCTGAATAAAGAACCCTTTCAACGGAATCAATTGGTATATCATGCATTCAGCCCTTGCTGTTGAAAGATGTGAGAAGTTTTTAATATCATTTTCAATGTTTTAGTTATATTAACGACATGTTATTATTATTACATGTCTAGATGTTAGACGAAATGTTAATTAATGTATGTAATAACAATGATAATTGTAATGATTTTATAGTTCTGATCCTGCCTGGAATTAAATGTATGTGATTTTTATAGAATGAAGATAATAACATCTGTCTGAACTTTTTAATGTTTCATTTTAATATATAAAAATGTTTTTCTGTTAAAATCATGATGTATTGTTTTATGTGTACATGTTATGCTGCCCATCAAGGGCCCTTGATTGGAATAATAAATATTCTTATTCTTATTCTTATTCTTATTAACGACATTATAATATGAGGTGGGACAGGAAATACCTTCTAAAACTAATGTATGTGAGAAACATTTTTTATAAATATTCTAACATGAATTAATTTTAAACCGAATGTCATAGCTTTAATTCCACCATCCTTCGTGTACATTCATTTGGATAAATACTAATAATTCCCCTCATCTGTCAAAATTGTATTTTGTGCTGTTTTAAGGCGTTTAAATTATGCTTTGGCGATCGGTTAAGAAATAAACCATAGTTTTAACTGTACACATATTAGGTTGTGATACTGTGAATTTGGTTAATAGATTATAAGACATTTAGAAAATGGCCCTGGTGTGAAATAAATTCAGTTGAACAGACCAAAAGATATGGAATAGAGGATAATGGGCAAAATAGACAAAGAAAAGAGAAAAATGGCATAAAAATTAAAGAATACAGAAATGAAGACCCCCATCCAGACCCTCTTCAATACAATGCGATTTAGTGGATACAGTTCCCATGCAGTAGGTGCAACAGAGGGTCATTGCTCACATGATAAATTATTCAATGGTAATTTTTATTCTAATGAACCTTGAATTTATATGATGTAACCATGCAGATGCGTGTGATGAAATTTAATAACTATTCAATAACAGCTTGGTTTTGTTTTCTGGTTTGTGGTCAGAAGTATACCGAGGTATTGAACAATGTGTACTAGCATCACCTTTTGTCAGTCATCATGCGTATGTTTGTAAACAATACATAAATCAATAAAGCAGAAATTAATAATTGATCATATAAATACTTTTATGATGAGCTGGAATTATCGTGGATAAAATATAATGAACTTTAAAAGTGCATGCCGGGTATCATGTGCGTCCAATATGTAGATTAACGTTTGTTTTATAAAAGTGCGTATGACAAATCAACTCAGAAGTTCCTGTTGATTTAGTGTACTTAGTCCACAATAAAACAAGATCGGCAGATCAAATAAAGTGAGCGACAGCTAAAAGTACTGCAATCAATGCCCCCTTTTCTGCATGCAGTTTTACATGATGTCTTTGCTGCTGTGAACTTGACGACAAACCAACCTGACCTTACTGTTAGTTCATCCTTACAACTGTTAGTTCATCCTTACATGTCAGTTATTATGATGTCTCGCTTAGGGAAAGTGCCATGCTTTCTGCACATCAAAGTACTCTTTTAACAACCGTTCGAGGGGTCCGTAGTTTGTTCGTAGCAACGCGAATGTTGTGCCAATATCCAACATGTCCTCGTTTTCCAGTTTATAGTCTAAATTTTGGTGTTTGAGTATATATACCTATATTGAAAAAATATCGTCTCTCACCTGTAACGTTCCATGGACAAAATAGATGGGGAAAAAAACGCCGAGTCCAACGATTTCAACGGTGTGTGGCAAAGACGACACCACCCCCTTTTTATCGGAAAAACATTTTTTGCGCTTAAAATTAAAAAAAAAACATGTTAACGCCCCTTTTTTTATCCCTCGGACACTGGAAAAGCTTCCTTTTATCAAAAACAACGTATCTACTTCACATAAAGAAGTTTTTACCAGATATAAACATGATAAATATTATCGATAACTGCATTATATAAAGTAAATGTACAGCATATGATACATAGAAAAGACAGGTTATATAAGAATGTAACCACATAACATGAGAAAGTATCCACATAATATAAGAATGACATTGTAACTACTAGTACTTCATATAAAAATTTATCCACTTGATATTACAAATTATGAATATAATATAGTAAAGTAATGATATGATATAATAAAGAAAGTATATTTTATAATGAAGTAACAACACCGCACAATAAAGAAACCACATAATTTAATAATGAAACCACATATTATAACAATGAAACCACAAAATATAATAAAGAAAATACAATGTTATAATGAAGTAAGCACAAAACGTAATAAAGAAACCACATACTATAAATATAAATCAATTGCTTTAAAAAGCAATTGTAAATGGTCTTTCCCCCTTCTGAAACATGATTGATTGATATATGTGTATGTATGTTTGTTTGTTTGTTTGTTTGTTTGTTTGTTTGTTTCTTTGAATGGTCCATATTAGTGTGTTGGTTAAGTTTCTATATTTAGTTTG